ACAAATATTCTTTTTTTTTTTTTTGAGTTGGAGTCTCACTCGGTCGCCCAGACTGGAGTGCAGTGGCTGCTTTCGGCCACCGCAGCCTCGACCTGCTGGGCTCTGGCGATCCTTCCGCCTCGCCTTCCAAGTAGCCGGAACTACAGGCACGTGCTACCACGCCCGGCTGATTTTTTATTTATTATAGAGATGAGGTCTCGCCAGGTTGCCCAGGCAGGTCTCGAACCCGCAGGCTCAGACCATCCACTCATCTCGGCCTCCCAAGGCGTGGGATGACAGGCTGAGCCACCGTACCCGGCTGAAACATTTTCTTAGGTGTGAAATGATATTGGAGTTATATGAAACCATCCTATCCTCAAGAGACCCATGCTAGAAGTATTTAGGGATGAAGTGTCATGATGTCTGCAGCTAACCTGCAAATGGCGCACCAATCAATAAGCCAATCTATAGAGAGTGCAAGATAAAGCAAATGTGGCAAAATGATAACAATGGGTGGATCTACAAGAAAAAACTTAATGGGTGCTCACTGTACTATTCTATCAACTTTTCTGTAAGTTTGAAAAAAGTGTAACAGAATATTGTGTGAAAGAGGGAGAATTAATAAATAATTGGACATTTTCATTTTGAATAAGTATAATATATCCTAACCAATAAAATTTAAGTTTGCTTTACAAACGATATAGAAATATATTTGGAATCTTCTTGCTTTTTAGCCCTGGTAAGTGACAAAAGTTTACAAGGCCTGATACATGAAAAGCTTCGTGTCTTCTAGAAACTCTAGCTCCACCACTTATCTTCAACGGAGACTGAGGTCCAGTTCTTAGAAAAGAAGACGAAACACTTGCTGAGGACTTGGAGCAAGAGGGCCAGGCACGTCTCACATAAAAGCAGAGTAACTTGTCTCATGCGTGACACAATATGTCATGGGGGGAACCAGTCAGCAGAATTATAAGATGCCTGAAAGCCTAACTGGATATGCACTGGTGCTTACTGCAGCTTATGGTCAAACGCAAATATCTCTGGAAACAACTCCAGTCATTCACACCTTAATATGTGAAGGAGTGGAACTGCTTTCTTGTTAAGTGTTGGCAAAGATTAATTGAACTGATTAAATAGGAGCTTGGAGAAGATACTCGCCACATGGCAGATGGGCCTGAACAGGATTTCAAAAGTGGTAACTTAGGAAGTCAAAGAGCAACATGAGGATTTCAGTGTCTCAAGGGAATAGAAAGGACCATGTAAATAACACATCAAAGGCAAACTTAGCCTAGTCAAAATTTTGCTTAGAGATTGTTGTAGGAGAATAAAGAGTTATTATAAAAAGCATATTAACTAAATAAATCAAAAGTACATTAGCAAGCCAACCACTTAAGGATGACTTTAAAAGCGCGATTTTTTTGTTTGGCTAGGTTTAGGTTTTTTTTTTTCTTTAAAGAGAGGTAGTCTCGCTATGCTGTCCAGGCTAGACTTGAATGTCTGGGCTCAAGAGATCCTCCCACATAGCTGTGACTATGGGAGCATGCAGTCACACCCCACTAGGCGTGGCTTTTTAAAATGGGAACAGACGCACTGTGTCAGAAAGATGAAAACTGCACAGAGCATTGAGCTCCATGTCACAAAATCTTAATACTTATTTGAAATAGTAACACCTAATGTAAGTTATCCTAGACAGACGACTGACTGAATATAACTGCATCTCCACCAAAGGCATAAATCTTTCAGAATAAGACAGTGAATTCACTGTACACTGACAAATGTATGTATGTCCTTTTAGTTACCAAGTGGAAGGAATAAGAACCCACTTACACTGATTATTGTACACATGACCCGACACTGAAGAAAGGTCATCACTTTGAAGCTGCTGGAGTCTCTTTTCAACCACTTCTGTTATATCCACAAAATTTTCATCAAATCCAAGTCTTTCAACAACTGGACTAAATTCTTCCAACAATTCTAAATTGAAATATTGGAGTACAGATGTAACTAAAGTTATAACTAGAATAAATTTTATTATTTAGTGCATTAAAACACATCAGATATACTAATGGTTACATATATATTCACAGTTCCATAATACCTTTAATAAAGCCCTCAGCTGAGTTTTATTTTTTTCTGTACCACATACTAGATAGAGGCAAAATATTCCAAGTAGTTGAAAAATGACATTCCTAGGACCATTACTTACAGTAATATTTTTAGCTCAATCTTTCACATCTATAATTTCTGATCTCTAGTACATTAAATATCAACGCTTATAGTTGATCTATAATCTTGAAGCAGCAAGTCAAATAATAAACTATAGTCTGCTTAGAAAAGTAAAAACAAGTGATAATATATTTTAGCAATACTTTCCACAAGACTTTTAAAAAGGTAAAACAAAATAACACTTAAAATTTCCAATTATTACTGAGTCACACAGAAAGTCACTTAATTTTCAAAATACATTACAATATGGTATTTTGATTAGCCACTCCAGAGCATACTCCTTAAGGACAGAGAGAGATGGATCCCAATTTTCAGCATCTAACACAATCTTTAGTTCTTATGTAGAATATTCACTAAATTGAATGGAGTCTAAATTCAAAATCAATTTTAAAGGACTATCAATTTTCATACATTTAGATTGAAATTAAGAACTTTAAAATCATTGAGAAAATTGCTCATTTCTCTCTGACTTGCCTTCTACTGACACCAGATGGATGGCAGAAAACAAATATTAGTCTTTTAGTATACAAAAAAGCATAAGTTCTTAAGACCTGTAATCTACAGCTCAGAAATAAAAGTACTATGTTATTCCTTACAGATCACATTTTTCCACAACTACCAAAAAGAGCTTTTATGTCTCAGTGGGGCCAACATTGACAATATCAGGGGAATACAATAAAGATACAATGTGATACAATGTGACTAGGTGAATATAAAAAAATCACTTCCAACTTACCTAGAAAAAGACCATTGCCTCCTTTCAGGAGACACTGACAATGTGTCTGATCATATAAAAAGATAGTTTTCCATTTCCCTCATTGATTTCTGCAATTTTTTCAAAAGTATACACCTGATAGCCAAAGTAACAATAGCTTACCAAAAGATGTTGAAAACAAAATTGTATATCAAAAGAATATTATAGAAGAAAAATAAAGGACAGGTTTTAAACACTAAGCAGACATACAAAGTAAATATAGAATCATACATAAACCTGATGGATTACTAAGTATCGATTGATTGTATCAGTTCTATTGCTAGGTCAAGGACAGGCCTCTAACTGTTTCATTCCTAAAGCAAATTTTTGCTACCTAAACTCAGAAATAAGATGCATTTATTAAATATATAATTATGCAAGGCTCAAAATAATTTTTAATTCAAGGAAAAATCCACCTAGAAAAAAGGTATCTATGCTACAGAATAAAAATATGAAATAAACAATAAGATTATATATCATAAGCAGGTCATAACTAAAAATGGTATAGAACTAACTGGCTATGTTCCTACTTTAACTCAGAAAACTATGATGACAAAAGTATACATAAAACAACTTTTAATCAATGCACAAGTCATATGTAGGCTATTTCAGGTTGTAATATGAGTGCATTTTTAATTCTTTCAAGATACTTCATAAATTAAAACTCAGTGTAGAATGTGAGATTTACTCACTTAGTTTCCAGTATGATTTTTCACTGTAAAAAGGTACAGCTGTGGCACAGACGTCAGAGAGGAAAGACTGATAAATCTGACACCAAAAATAGTCAAAAAGACAAAAGATAAACTGGAAATATATTTGGAACACACAGTCATCAAAGGGTTAATTTTCTTAATTTCCAAATGAAACCCCACTAGAACCCAATAAGAAAGAGATAAACACCGGGCTAGGTGTTTATCTCAGCCTGTAATCCGTGCTTTGGGAGGCTGAGGTGAGTAGATGGCCTGAGCCAGTGGGTTCGAGACCCACCTGGGCAACTTGGCGAGATCTCATCTCTACAATAAATTAAAAAATTAGCCGGGTGTGGTAGCATGCGCCTGTAGTTCCAGCTACTTAGAAGGCTGAGGTGGAAGGATCCCCGGAGCCCAGCAGGTTGAGGCTGCAGTGGCTGGGAGCGGCCACTGCACTCCAGTCTGGGCGACAGAGTGAGACGCCAACTCAAAAAAAAAAAAAGAAAGAGATAAACAACCCCCCCCAAAAAATAGGCCTAAGTAAATATGTTGTTCACAGAAAAAAATACATAAATGACCAAAAATGTGTGAAAAATGCTCCATCTTATTCATAGAGAAAAGCAAATCAAAACAATGATTTACTATTTTTCACCTATCAAACAAAGATTGTTAATCTAACACTCTCACACATATTCTTAATATACTGGGGCATCTCCAATGCCACGAACATAGCAGTACTCAAAAGTTTAAATGCAAATCACGCTTGATTCAGCAAACAACCTCTAGGAATTTACCTTACGGATAGCCCCTTAAAAGCTTGCCAAAATTTCTAAAATTTCTATGTGAATAATCTACTATGGCATATATTTGTAGAAGTAAAAATCTGGTAACAGTCATAATCCATCATTATGCAAGACAACCATTTATTTATCATCCAAAACAAGACATTTTTGTAGTACAAGGAGGTACAATGAATAATTATGTAGCAACAACTGGCATAAAGAGGGACATACTATCCTCAAATCACTAAAGAACTGGCTAAATAATTATGGAATAAATACAATGGAATCTCGTATAGACATTACAAAGAAAGAACAAGGAAGATCTCTACGAATGGTGTGAAAGATGTCTAAGCACAAAGGCAAGATGCAGAATTCCATGCATCATAAAAGTACTTCTGTGGACACCAAAGTTGATGTTCTTAGTATTCAGACACACACACAACCTTGGGGAAATGCATACGTGATGCTTGGGAGTACAGTCTTGTCTCTTCTGCTTGGCTATCCCTTTTTCCCCTTTTCCTCCCATTTCAGCACTGCCTCTTTCTCTCCACAAATTAGCCAATGTTAAAAACCTCGTTATATCCTCTCGCCTTCCTTTCTTGTTCACGTATGGACATTTACATACATATGAGGGGAGGTTTTGGGACATCATTTTACACATATGGGAAAGTGTCATACATGACTTTGCATCTTGCCTTTTTCTCACTCAATGAAGTATATCTCTATCAGGCAAACAATATTATACCAATGTGTGCTTCTTAATGGCCATATAATAGCCACCATACAGAAGTCTTAGTTTATTTGGCCATTCTCCTCTTGTTGAGCATTTTTTGCTTCCATATTTTTGCCAGTTATAAATTATGCTACAACAGACATTTTTGTACATATGTCTATGTATTTGTGATTGTACTTCCTTTTTTCGTGTGAGAAATCAGGATTTATCGAGAGGACAGAAAAGCTCCCACAGTAGGAGAGGACTCAAGGGGGTTGCCCTATTTGTAACTGTATTCCTGTTTGATAAATTCCCAGCAGAGTTATCACTGGGTTGAAGAATATAAATCTTTAATTTCAGTAAGTGTTCTTGATACTTTTTTTCACATTCTTTTTATTTTTTATGGCAAGTATGATGGATATAAAATACTATTTTACAAATTTCCTCAGCAATTAATGAGAATTTTTTTCATGTAATTGTTTATTCTTTTTTTTTCATTTTTCATGTAATTGTTGAACACTGACTATGCTCTTCTTGTCAACTGCCTATCCATATCCTTTGTCCATTTTTATTCATTTTTTTCTTTCCTGTTAATTTCTAAGAACTCTTTATGTATTACAGATATTTAACCCTCTCATCTGAAAACTGCTACAATAAAAGAAAACCAAAAAATAACAGTAAAGAACATAATCAAATGCAAAGCTGATCCTTACACACTTTTAAACTACATATACTTCATATTTAAATAATTTTGATTTTTCCTCCAATTTACAAAAACACTAATATTTAAACCCAAGCCTTTGCACAGGAGAGTTTAACTACAGTGTGATATTTAGTACATATGTAAAATCTAAGAAAATATTAATCTACTCATTATTTTTGCTAAGAGTGCATAAGAAGTCAGTTTTTAATTACGCTGATCAAACATTACTGAAGCCTCTCCCAACTATCATTAATGCATTAGGGCACAGCATATTTCTTCTCAATTCATATAAACTTAAAATTTTAAATATCTGGTTTCCTTTATGATCTATATCCCCATTTTCTTGCCTTTAAACTCTGTTATACATTTTTTCCTGCTATTTACATAAATATCACTTCTGAGAGAGTTCAAATTACTTCCAACTAAACAGCTTTTTTAAAAAGGCTACTTTACTAAACTCTGATGTGATCATTTGCTCTTTGAGCCACGGTCACCACCATATTTTCTAAGATTTGGTCCCCTCTCCTTCCTTGGAGAGGTGAATCTCCTCTCTCCCTCATTCTTTCTGATTTACTTTCTAAATAAAGCATATTTTCCAATAGAAAAAAAGGCTACTCATAACATCCAGTGTCATCCTCTTACATAATTTTTGAAGTGGACAAGACCCAAAATAAAAAGTTATTAGGAAACAGGAAGTTGACTATGGCATCTTAAATTTGTAAAAAGATTAATGCGAATATGCATCCTACATAAAAATCAATACTAAAATTATATACTGCCACAATTTGTACCTGTAACCTTGTAAGACATCTCTCGGTAACGGGTCAAGTCTTCTCCATTAACCAGTATCAGTTGTGGGCACTTTTCTTTTGCATCTCTGACACTCATAAGTTTCTCAACTCCAAGTCTCCTAGCTTCATAATTGCAGGTAACCACCAAATATTTCTGTTGAACCCCTGTGAAAATAAGGTTGAAGAAACACTTTTAAATATTATTCACTAATTCCATATTATAATTGTATAAGTTGTAAGGCAATTTGTTTTGATTAGAAAAGCTATGCCTCAGCAAAAAATATAGCCTCTATAAGTCAAAATTCTATAATGCAGAAGCATCAAGTTTTCAAACTATGTCCGAGTTATGAGTTATAACTATCTATATATTTTTCTTCCACACTCCACTTTTAATTCTTGTTTGTTTTGTCTACTTGGGGAAGAAGGAAAGATATTATTAAGTAACAAACCACTGCCAAGCACAGTAGCTTGTGCCTGAGGCACTTTGGAAGGCCAAGGCAGGAGGACAGCGTGAGCCCTGGAGTTCGAGACCAACCTGGGAAACAGAGCAAGACCTCTTCTCTGCAATTAATCAAAAAACTAGCCAGCCTTGGTGTTGTGTGCATGTTAGTCCCAGCTATTCCAGAGGCTGAGGTAGAAGGTACACCTGAACCCAGAAGGTCAAGGTTGCAGTGAGCCATGATCATGCCACTGCACTCCAGCCTGGGCAAGAGTGACACCTCGACTCAAAAACACAACAAAACAAAATACTGAACAACATGTTAGACAATGGATCAAGCATTCATATACAAAAGCCCATCTGGCTAGGCATGGTGGCCCACACCTGTAATACCAGCACTTTGAGGACCTGAGGTGGTAGGATCACTTGAGACCAGGAGTTCAAGACCAGCCTGAGCAACATAGCAAGAACGTTCTCTACAAAGAAAAAAGAAATTAGAAACTTAGCCAGCTGTAGTGGCCTACACCAATAGTCTCAGCTATTCAGAAAGCTGAGGTGGAAGGATCTCCTGAGCCCAGGAGTTGGAGGCTGCAGCGAGCTATGATCATGCCACTGCACTCCAGCCTGTGTGAGACCTTGTCTCAAAAAAAAAAAACAAAAAAAAAAAAAAAAAAAAAAAAAAAAAAAAAAAA